ATTCATACAGCTCGATTTCGCGAGCCTCCAGGTAAAGGATGCGGCTGTGTTGCGCCTCATTTACCTTTTGAGCTTCGTTCAGGCTGTACTCCAGTTGAGCTCGGAGCTTCTGTTCCTCCTTGAGGACTTTGTTCAGTCCGTGAACCTGGTCGGCCAATTGGGCATTTGCCTCGACCAAGTCGGCATCGGCTGTCCTCTGGTTAGGAAAGTCTGTTTGCCGAGTGTGTGCGTCTATGAATTGACGTCCCATTCTGACGAGGAGGAGTTCCATTTCCGACTCGAGTTCGTCGGTTCGTTGCGTTAGTCGGTCGATCTCGTTATCGGCCTTCTTAAGTTCCACCACGTATCTATCGACTTCGTTTCGATAGACTTCGGCCTCTTCGTTGGCCTGATTGAGTTGTTGGTGGAACGCTCCTGCCGCCATCTCCGATTCGACCAACGCCGTCTGCGTGTCGACCAAATCCTTTTTCGCCTCTTCGAGTGCTTTGTGCGCCTCGTCGAGCTCGTGTTTGATTTCAAAGACGGCCGCTGTTGACCGTTCTAGTCTGCCAGTGAGTATGGCGACTTGGTCGACTTCGTATCGACATGGTAGGTCGGCTCGCTTGAGTATGGCGTTAAGCCGGTCGATTTCCCGTTGTTGGGTGGCGATGCCCTTGTTGGCGTCAACCATGTCTCGTTCCCATTTCCTCCGTTCGAGTTTATGGGTGTCCTCCGAGTTTCGGAGGGATCCTTCTGCCGAGTCGACAATTTTGTCCGCCAAAACGATCTGTGTGATCAGTTTGTGGCATCTCGCTCGGAGTAGGTCGAGGTCATTGATCTTTTCGGGCGGTGTTGCCGCGATCCACTTCTTAGCCGTGTATTCGAGTGCACTGGCTTGGTATCCGAGGTTCTCCTTATCGGACTTGGGTGGTGTCGTGAAAACTCCGTCCGCACTACTCGGTCCTGACGCATTTGTTGCGTCAAAGACTTCGTTTGTCGGTGACGGAGTGCTATCGAGTTCGCCCGTTTCGAACATCGGTGGTGATGATCTGATTGTCAGATCGACAGGTCGATTTTGTGTCGCCTTAGTCGACTTCACCGTTTGTTGAGCTTCGGTTGCTCGAGCCGACTCGCTTCCGGTTGGCGAAGGTCGGCTCAACGGCAAAATTGCCCGTTCGTTGGGTGTCGGTATGTTAGTCGGCGATCCAGCTGGGTGAGGGCCGCTTCGTGGCGGTACCTCGGAATCTTCCGTTCCAGTCGGTAGTTTGGTCGGCTGGACGGCCACTTCCGACTTTGTGGCGGTTAGTTGCCGTTCCAGACTAGTCGGTTGCTTATTGCCGACTTCCTTTTCTTCGCCCTCTGTAGTCGGCTTCTGTTGACCGACTGTTGAGGTTTGCGGATTCCTTCCGACCTGTGTGGTCGGTTGGACTTGGCCGACTTCTGTTGTCGGCTTTTTCATTCCGTTCGAGGTCGGTTGTTCGACCTCTTTCGTTAGTGGTAGTCGTTCGACCTTCTCTTTCGTTCGACCTTCTGTTGGTCGACTTCTTTTGCCGAGGGCTGGTCGACCATTTGTTGGTCGGCTTCCCTAGTCGGTGATTGTTCACCGACTTCGTTGGTCGGAGATTTTCGCTCGACCTGTGTGGTCGGCGATTTCCGTCCGACTTGGTTAGTCGGTATGTCCATGTTGGGCGAGGTCGGCTTCGGCACTTCTTCCGTCCTTTTGGGTGATTGCCGTCCGAGCTCGGTAGCTTTTATGACCGTTACGGAGTCTTGAGCTCTATGTGAGCTAGACTCCAGGTCGGCATGAGACAATGTGGTCCCTGCCTGCAGCTGTTCCACATCCCCCCGGTCGGGTAGGACGGGGCTGCTACGTCAGTTGGGGCTTCCAGGAATGTTTTATCCCTGGCGTCCTCGAAACTGTCATCCGAAGTTGGATTCGAGTCGGCGAGGAGGATCCGTTCGTTACGTCTCTCCTTCGCTTCGGCCGACTTAGTCGAGTCGTTTGAGGACGGCTGACTTTTGTCTTGACCGGCATACCGAAGTGAGTACTTCCCGGTCATGTTCGCACACCGAGAATAGTCCGTGTTGAACTTTCTCGCGTACTCATTTTCTCGGGGATTCGACATTGTTGTCGAGTCAGGTCGGCTCTGGTGGAGCCTTAAAGGTTTTATCGGTTAGAAAGAGAAAATCGAACAATCTTCTGTGTGAAGATGTTCGATGAAATCAGGAACGTCTTTTGGTTCAGGAACTTCCGAGTGTCGGGAACGTCCGGTGAGATGTTGTTGTTGTTGTTGATGTGTCTATTGGTGACTCAGTACACAGGGTTAATATACAGTACTATGGTACAGTACAGTACGTAATAGTAGTACGGTGTAGTACGTCCTATGTTACTGTGCTGACCAGTGTGACGTAACAGGTTAAGTGGTCTTGCACCTCTGCCTACGTCACAGAATGCGAGCCGCGTGCAAAAGTTACAAAAAACGATGAATCACGCCTATATTAAGCTATGGGCACTTTCCCCTGCACGCTGATTGGCTGCTTCTTAAGTACTGATAAGCGGTCGTTATGACGTCACAAGGAAGTTCAAGAATTTTCGCGCTATTTTCCGCGAGAAAAACAAATTATTTTTGGTCGGCTAGAAAGTTTATTTAGTCGGATTTTTAAGTTTTTAATCGTTAGAAATTAGTTTTGTTAATTAAGAAAATTTTCTGATGGTCGAAAGACCGTTAGAAATCAAAAACAAGAGAGTTTCCGACCTGTTGCCGGTTAGCCTTTGTCTAACTGTCTAGACAGGTTCGTTGACCTAGCAGGTCGGTTCTCGACCAAAAATGAAAATCCGAGTCGGTCTCTCCGTCGGAAGTTACTTTTTGACCGTTAGAAAGTTAAATTTTACGGATAGAAATCGTTTTCTACCGTTAGAAAGTGAAATGCCGATCTAGTTTCGGCTAAAATCGACCTATAACCGTGACTTTACCAGTGTCGGTGTCGGTGTCGGTTCTGGTCGATTTCCTCCGTCCGAGGTCGGAAATCCGTCGTTTCCGAGCTGAAATCCGCGAGTAAAGTTGCGGGTCGGTGTTCAAACCGATGGTCCCCGTATTATTGGATTAATCCGTGCGCGCTGCAGACTCTCGTTCGAGTCCGATCCGTCAGTTGGGAGAAGAAAGTGTCCGTGCTGTTGGGAATGTACTCTTCAATGTGGAAGAGACGAAGAAGCTGTGCTCACCAGCTGGGTAAGAATCACTTCAGTGATCCTCGTTTTCCTCAGCTGTAAGACGATGCGATCAGTCCGATCAAAGTCAAGGCAGAGATTGCTTCAGCAATCTATCTGACAGTGACTTTCAGGTTCCTCATGAGTTCTCCGTAATTCAAGCCTTCACCGTCTCCTCAAAGGTTCCGTAGGAAGGAAAACCAGAAAAGATGCTGCTACCATGTAACAGACAAGCACGAGGAGATCACGAGTGAGCTTTATTGTACAAATAAACGGGGAACAATGCTGCGTAATAGCAGGAAAGCAAGAACAAAGCACTGATCGCTAAATCTAGCAAGTGGATGCTAACAAGGTTCTTGAGCGTCTGATGGCGTGAAAGAAGCAACTGGCGGCAACCACGTGCTGTGTGCCATCAGCTGTATGATGATGCGCAGACTGGGCTCAATCCAACGCGAGCGTATGAACGCTGAGTCATACTGCGAGAGAGGAACGAGAGAGCAAGTGTGGCTCAGTGTGTGCGCTGCGTATGTCCGCTTCAGCGGATGAGTGCAGTGCAGCAGCACACGTACGTACAGCGAGAGAGGCGATAACGGCAAGCAATGGGTGCAAGTACGTCCTGTGTGGACCGTACGCACCAGGCGCAGTCGTGGGCCTCTGACATCATCGAGCGGCTAAAGTATTCAAAAGCAATTTTAGCAAATTGAGCAATTTGGGAGAAATGCGGCAGTTTGCAACAGCCGTCTCGTTGACGGACTACGGAACGGCTATTGCCATAATCTGGCCATTAATATTTCTGCTGCCCAAGTTTGCTCAAATTGTCTGATATTTGAATGGTGATAATTCATAGTATTGAATATTGTTTGTAAATATGTATAGCAAAGGAGCCAAAGGGCATCGGTACCAGACAAATGACACCACGGCTGGCGATAGCCGTGGCCCGTGAGTATAAACGGCCACTGAGCCCTTTCTATTTTGTATGTGGTGACCGACGGACGGATACCATCGGTTGCGAGTTTATACGGTCACGTCGCATGTGTACGCAGACTGCAGACGGTAACAAATACCACCGTTCATATGTGTGCATTCGGTGGCGGTGACCAATGTACTGTCATTACAATTCATATGTAGCGCGACAATAAACGGCCACTGTGCCTTTTCACTTTTGATGCGGTGACTGACGGACGGATACCACCAAAATATATAAGGTGGGTGTATATACGGCCACGGCGCATGTAGGAATTTGACAGAAAAGGCAACTGCGCACGTGTGAATTACGTTGCGGTGAATTACGTTGCGGTGACCGACGGACACCATAGTTTGCTTTCGGCTTGAGTATATACGGCCAGCGTGCATATGCGCATTTGATACTAAACCCGCGCATATATGCATTAAGTGGCGGTGACCGACGGACACCATAGTTTGCTTGCGGCTCGAGTATATACGGCCAGCGCGCATATGTGCATTTGATAATAAACCTGCGCATGTGTGCATCAAGTGGCGGTGACCGACGGACACCCCTTTTTTCATAAACGCTGAACATAGAAAACCTTCGCTACGCTTCGGTCGATTAATACGCGTTATTAGTTAATGTAATTAGACTTAATTAATTAGTAATTACAGTAACGCAGCCTAGACATGACTACAATTGTGCAATGGTGCATTACTAATTGTAGTCACTAATATTAATTACTAATCGTAATTACTAAATTGACAATCACTAATAGTCTATTACTAGTAACAACTTTTAAATCTAATAAGGCTAAATTATTAATGCGGATAAATACTTTATCAAATTTTATTAGAAATCAGAAAGCTCTGATATCTATATGTTACGGGTTGTACGGGTGACCACTGTGTAAAGCTGGGGTGGCTATGCACAGCAACGAAGGTGAATGTGTATGTGAAATAGAAAACGCAGCTTTGTAGTAATCGAGTTTCTTCTGAATAAAGTTGGCGCAGCTAGCCACCAGCAAGGGTAGGTCGTACTTGTCCGCGCAGCTCATTATGTGGAAGACGTTTTCCCAGGTGAAGTTCTTCACGGCATCGGTGTAGATGTAACTGCAAAGGACGTGCTGCGATTAGTGATGTTCGCTGCGCAGAATGTTACCGAAATACTATATGATAGGCACACCTGAGCATATTAGCGAACGCTTCTGGGTGAATGTCCGGGATGTCGATGGGATCTGCACAGTTCTCTGGCACGCTTCCGTAGAACATGGTGTCGAACACATCGCTGCGGCTACTCAGGATGAGTCTGCACGATAAAATGGGCAATTAGAGTAATGTTCATCAGGCGGATGGATTCCACATCCTGGATCAGCGTGACAGGCAGAGTAAAATAACAGAGAGGACTCACCTGTGCGCTAAAAACGTCTTCGATGCACCATAGTCTTGTCCGACTGCGAACTGGACATCGCTCAAATCGGCACTGGCTAATACGTGCCGCATTCCATCACTGATCTTCGCGATGCCAGCGCGATTTACCGAATCCGAGGATGGTGGAATTAAGTTCCAAGACATGATAACGGAAAATTTCCGAGCGTGGTTTCACAATGGAACTTTAGGGAAGTCAGGCAAAGAAGGACGTAAATAAAGCTTGAAATCGCAAAAATCAGGTAAGCTTGCCACTGCAGAATATCGCAGCATTACGTTTCGGAAAATGTGCAGAAAGCGCGCGTAGAAATTTTCTTTGGACACCAAAGTTCAATGAAATGTTGTCGCGATGTCGTTGTTAGCCCTTCGTGACACGAAGTTACAATTACTGCTACGAGAGAAACGCCTGCATAGTGCGTCATAATCATCGTAATGCAAAGCAAATCGTAATAATAAGCATGTGTCCATTGCTACGGCTAACACCAACCTAGAGGCAACAGCCAAGTTTTCAAACAGCTAATTATATCTGCGAAGTGGCTATTTTGCCGCAGTTTTTGCGGTAAAATAGCCTTTAGCTATTTTGCCGCACTATGTTCGGCAAAATAGCCTTTTACTATTTTGCCGCACACTGCGTTAAAATAGCCTTTAGCTATTTTGCCGCAGTATGACCGCCCAAATATCCTTTTGCTATTTTGCCGCACACTGCCTTAAAATAGCCTTTAGCTATTTTGCCGCAGTTTTCGATACAGAGCATTATATTTAAAGTCGGTTGCACTATAGCCTGCACTAAAACGCATGCCGACAATCAGACTCCAAACGTATGAAGCAAGAGAATAGACAGCGTGATGCCGGTGGCAATGTCGCCGATGCGCACATCAAGATTTTCGTCACAATCGGGGCGTTCCTCCTCGTAAGTACAGCTCAGATTACGCACCACAAAGTGCTGAATCTTAAAAGAACTAAAACAGTGGGCTGGTGATGGATTTTTCAGCTCAATATGATTGTTGCAGGACTTACAGAGTACAACGTTGTAGGAGGAAATCACTGATGTTTCGTCATTTTATCGTACGCGCTGTATTGTACGTATACTTGCTTAAAGAAGAAAAAGCGCCACCAAAAGGTTAGCGACGACTTACGTTATGTCGCTGTAGGATGTAATAAAAAAACATTGAAATTCACCCGTTAAGAACTTTATATCGTGCGATTATACAATGGTATTCAAGGTAATCATCTGACAATATTATATATTGAACGAACGGCAGAATCTTTTATTACGTATATCCACTCGGGACAAGACCAATCAAGCAACTAAAATTAATATTCAAAACGTACTATGTAGCAGCGCTGGTACTTTCATCGGCAGTTGCTACGGCATAATGGACATCACTCCCATTCACGAGAATACACATCACTGCACTTGTATACGTACGTGTACTTACACTGAACACTACACACAACTTCTACAGTTTATATACGTATTGTATGCAGAGTTACTGTTCTAATAAATTTTGTGCATCCTCTTGAAACCAGCTACTCCTACTGTCTCAAAGGCCACGTAAGATTACGAAAGGATGGACCGGAGCTTTACTTTGTTTGGGCAGATATACCGAATAAGGCCCCGGACGGCCAAGAAGCCATCACACAGAATGAGGAAAACGAACAGAAGTTTTACGGTGCTGAACGTCAGGCGTTCGCGTAACAGATTCCCGAATTTATACCCATTTCCCTCATATTTCTTAACAGCTGACAAATAAAACACGCTAATTAAAGGCACGTGCCGGGCGTCGTAACACGCGCACTCCTTTCTTTCCGCAGCATCATTTCCATTACTTTCACATGCAGGGAAGGAGCTGCATGAATAAATGATGCGACAATGGCCCCCTAATGGATATAATAACTTGTGGAAGCTCTGAAGCACATAACTTCCACTGCGTGATTCTTGACCAGCTGTTCTGCACGCTATTTGTGCACAGAAGTGATCTTTGTACATATATTGCGAACAACAGCGCATCCTGTTTCAGTAAAATTGAATGCAGGAGTTACCGTTATATGCAGCTAAACAACCTTGCAAACAACATTTGGAGCACATGCCGGCATACACAACGCTTGGCCAACAAGTACCACATATGTCAATGACCGCTTACGGTTTACGCATTAGACCTCAACAACTGGTATGGAGGAAGTTGCGGCATGCCGACCATTTTGCAGCGCTTGACGTTTATTAATGGCACCCTGGGGCGTAATTTGGGGGGTGGCGTTATTTTTCAAATACATATGATCTAGGAGAGGCCATAAATCCAATGGTTACCGTACCTGGTATGGTGGTTCTGAACTTCTGGTATGCTTCCGGTATTTCACCAGGGTAATACGTATTTTTGCGTAAACTAGTTGCCAACGGCCGAGTTTCGTTTTGACCTTGAAATTTATCAACCCGACTTTTTTGTTTATTTCGGGCGGTTGTAATACTCATGTATTGAATTTGGTTTTGAGGCCGACATCTTAGTGGGTAGAAGCATGGAAAACCGAATCTCTCCGGCGTTTGGCGAAAAGTTCTTGATTTCATTTCATTTTAAACATAGGTTGTCAAATGCTTTTGAAAGTTGATTCTGATTTCTGAATATATTAGCACGGTATGCACATTAACACATACTTTTATACTTGTATGATGTATGTACAGCTGCAAACTGATAATAATGCTTTATGCACTGAACTGCAGACGCATGTGACCGGCAAAAACGCCGTGCCCCCCTGCCACCATCCCCAAAACAGTAACCCTTTTGCCAGAATGGTGACACGGGGGACCTACCACGGAAAGCTGATTTTGAGGTCAATCGGTGACCTTTGAAAAACTGCCACCAGCGTTACCATAGCGTTACCAAAGGAAAACCACTGTGATAATCGGAGACGCAAGAGACATTATTGCCGGAACGAGTTTAGTGGTGTCCAGCATGGGGGACATCATTGCCGGTGCGAATTTAGTGTTGTCCGGCATGGGGGACATTATTGCCGGTGCGAATTTAGTGGTGTCCGGCATGGGGGACATTATTGCCGGAACGAATTTAGTGGTGTCCGGCATGGGGGACATTATTGCCGGTGCGAATTTACTGGTGTCCGGCATGGGGGACATTATTGCCGGAACGAATTTAGTGGTGTTCGGCATGGGGGACATTATTGCCGGAACGAATTTCTTGGTGTCCGGCCCTTGCTTGAGCCCAGCCCTTGCACTGCTGCTGATTGTTACTGCTTGCCCTGCTTCATAGAATCTGGTTCCAAGGACGCAAAACTTCATGACTTTTTCTGGCGTTACTTCCGACACCCATGTCTTTCCTCTTTTGGGAGATGCACTGTGTATCCCGGTAAATTCGAGCACAAAATTTTCTTGCTGTCACTACCTTTAAGGGAGAAAATGTTTGAGCTGGGACAACGACTAAAAGGGGTCGGGCTTGACATATTAAGCAAGAAAAGGTGAAACCTTAAACCTCAGAAAACTGAAAGAGCGTGAGCATCCTAAGGAATAAAAAAATGCAACATCCGAAATACATGAAACACAGGAAACACATGAATCACGTGAAACACGAAACGCAAGAAACACATGAAACACCTATGCAAGAAGGCGAAGCCCATGAAACATGAAGCGCAAAGCATGGAGAAGGAACATAAGAAAACCTATCAAGTAATAAGAACAGAAACCTGAAACAATGAAACACTGAAACATGAAACATGCACAACGAGACGTTTGAAAGCCTATTTATACTCGGGTGTAAGACCGTCACATCTCACGGAGCTGATAAACTTTCACGAGTATACACACTTTCACATCTCCGTCACAGTGCACGTGACTGGGTTGGGAAGTATAAACACATAACCGGACAGTGTCCGGAAATTTGTTCAGTCAACTTTACGGACATCAAAATCCGGTTTCGTCCGTCAAAATTCGAAAACAGAACTGGTCCTAACGAAAATAGAACTGGTCCTGGTCAAATCTTTCTCCACCAGTCCTAACAAATGCTGATAACGTTCCTTGGTCATCCGAAAATGCTCATAATGACGTTCGGGATCATCAGCTCGCAGGTCGTTTACCATGGTACTCAGTTCAGTTTTTGCAGCTCGCTCTTTGTAAAATTTTCGCATATACAGTCGTCTCGGTAGCCTTCGCTTTTTCGATCGAGAACGCCTTCGGGCTAAGAGAAAAGCAATTCCCAAAACCAGGAAAGAATTATGAAAAACAGCGGCATCATAGGCAACCATTTTTGCGCCAAGCAGGAAAATGTTCAGGATATCAAAACGACTTGAAATTTTAAGAAATTTAATTTTTAGCACAAAATTTGAGTTTTTGACGAACGTGACATCTGCTAAACCGGTGTGAGCGAGGGATCACTAGCGTTCACACTCGCAACGCTACGCCAACGGATTACGTGTCTGTGTTGTGTCTCGCTCTGATTGGCTGACGGCTATAGCCGTTCATTGTTTGTGCCATGTGCGTGGGCAGGCCTAATGCGGCTGCGAGCAAACTGAATGCGGCTCTCCGATCGATGGTCGGCAGTATTGATTTTCTGTTGTCGGAACTTTCAATATCATTAAAGTTAGCAATTAGCGGTGCGACTTCGCGTGTTATTTTCGCTGTTCGCAATACATATCGCATTGCTCACTACGCGGAATCAGTTCTGTTCTGGTTGCCGTATATAGATCACTTTGATCTATCATTATACCGGCTAGTATAACCAGAAAGCCGCTTTGTGAAAGCCCGTGACATAAGCCGGATCTAAGCAAGGTTTTCGGTTTTGTCCATGTTTTCTTTCGTACGTTCATTAGGACGTACATAAACTGCATTTCTGACGGACGTAAAGGAAAATGTGACTGAAGTGAATGTGACTGAATGAAAATGTGACTGAATAGGCCTTTAGGTGACATGAAACAGGAAGCACGAAGTTAAAACATAATAAACCGAACCAGAACCGTTTTTTTTAATTCCAAAGTATCTTTTCCATTGTACTGGTACAAAGGTCTGGTAAACCGGTAAAGTTTAATTTTACTATTAGACAATTTGGGCAAAACTGCGACCGTAGCAGTACCAGTGACAGTAGCGCTATTTTCCTATAGTGCATCTATGGCGAAATAGCCGCTACTGTCATTGGTATTGCTACTGCTGCAACTTGCCCAACTTCTCTATTGTTAATAATTAATGCTTCATAGATAGACGAAGATTTTGTCCGTTATAATCGTCTGTATATGTGAGTGTTGCCAACAAAACATTCGGACGTTATAGATTGTACCAATATCATAAATGAACGCAGAAATTAATACCGCTACCAGTAGTATTACAAGGGACTAAATAATTTAATAAGCAAGCAGCCGTTGCTTATCTTGAAAACCTCGTCTCAGTACTCAGTGGTACTAAGTTTAACACTGTACAGCAATGAGCTGGGGGCATTTCAGGAGCCAGAAAACATTATCACCTCTGCATCTCGGAACGTTTCCACGAAGAAGCAACAAAGAAAAAGACT